GTGTTAGTTTTTTCTTTGACAGTTAAAGATGAAGTATATATCAATTTCCATAAATTGAGCCAAGCTTTTCAGCTGCTGGTAAATAATGAGCATAGCTGTTTAAAAAATGTTATTCCCTTAAAGACACAGTTTTTCAAGGTATGGCATTAAAATTAGGAGATGGGATCAATGTTTAATTAAGCTAGATTTATGGAAGATCAATGTCCCCTGAGGCCCTGACCATGTTGTCTTCACTCTAAACTATTAAATTAAATGGTACTCCATGGCTACGGGGTCAAGGGGCTGAGAGCTCACTAATCACTCTATGTTCTACTAGTAAGTTTTTTCAGAAAATATGCGACAAATTCAAGTGACATTAGTCAATTCTAGTACACCCACATACATACATACATACAGCAATCATAACAACTACCATGACTCATAAACATTTAAAAACATCCATCATCTAAACCATCATAATTTTTAACTTATATCCTAAATTAACCCTCATAATTTTTTACTGCAAATTACTTCTATAAAATATAAATTCCTACGAAGATGAAGAAGAAAAAAATTGAAGTAGATAAGAAATCTCATTGAGACATAGAACCACCACCCTCATAGAATATTCTGAAGCTCACCGTACGAAATCTTAAATTTAATACTTCCAAAACTTAAATTTTGTAACGTTCAATTTCCTTTTATTAACATAAAGTCCATAATTTATTTCAAATCCAATCTGTAGTTTCAGTCTTTTAAACAAAGCCCATTTTAATACGACTGAGTTACTTGGAGTGTAAAATAAGTCACATAGTCACGGAAATTGCCTAGTACTCAATGATTAACTCGGGATTTTGGAACAGAACCAGCCAGTAAGCTACACAGAAAGGTGTCAAAGCACTCAGCGAGTAGATAACATAGTGTTTGCATGAAGGTTTGGTGCAATGAAGTTAAGTTTGAATGGAAAAATCTCTTCAGTCGTTAGAACTTTGTTTTTATCAAGAATTAGGGACGGTTTGAATTTGTATACTAAGTACTAGGTACAACGAATTACAAATGTACTTATGGTTGCATAGATGGTTTAAAGCCTTTTTACAATGTATTCTGGCAGTAATAGTAATAACTTTCAATGCTGTGTATTAATCTACTTTTGCACTTTTTAATGATCTAACTGTACATGTTTTGATTTACTTATGGTTAGTGAAGCTGAAGATTGCTGTATTTGTATTTTTCTTTTTTAAGTGGAGGGAGGGTCACCTATTTTCATAAATTGCGGCCTTTTAATGATAATTTGTCAGATATTGGTGGCTGATTTTGTTTTACTCCTGATTTTTGAATGGTAGGTATGATACATACTTCTACAAGGTTTTCAAGGTTTATACTCGATTGTGGAAGTTTCAGCAAGAGAATCGACAGAAGTTGGTGGAAGCGGGTCTCAAGAGATGGGAGATTGGCGACATTGCATCTAGGATTGGTCAACTTTACTTTGGACAATACATGAGGACTAGTGAGGCTAGTTATTTATCTGAGTCTTATATATTTTATGAGGCAGTTTTGACTAGGGAGTACTTCAAAGATGGGGTGTTTCAGGATGTTAATCTTGCATGCAAGCAGTTGCGTCTTATTTCTAGATTTCTTACTGTCTGTTTGGTGTTGAATCGGCGAGAGATGGTGTTTCAGCTGGTAAATCAGCTGAAAATGTTGCTTGATGAATGCAAGAGGGCTTTCCAGGTCATATTACTTTGCCTGCTCAAGTGTTATTCTTTAATGTAAATCTTAGTCTTAGGATAATTTTATAATTAGTTGCTCATGTGATTGCTCTACTGACTTCATCAGATGCATGATTGATAAAATCACTCAATGTAATGGATAGTTAAGTAAATGCTGGAGTGCTGGACAAATTCTTTGGTAGTTTCCGGACTTGTTATTGTCTCCTAATTGTTTAATGCTTTATGCAAACCAAACTGCACTTTTGATATTATAATAGTACTTAGTTACTTACCCAAATTAGCCGCCCCTTCACATTCAGCATTTACACATATTTCCAGCCAATACACACATTTGTAGGATATTATTCATCCTTTGGAGTGAAGCTTTTTTATAGGTGAACAATTTTTAGAGGACACTCTTTTCAGATTTTATTATTATTAAAAATAACTTTAGATCAAATGATCAACTAGATTAAAAGTAGGACTAAAGTCACTTTAGTAGTATAATGAACGGTAGTGGTACTATTCTTAATGTGATGATGTATATTCCTTAATGAATTTTGACCTCATTCTTATAGTTTAACGATACATTTCTTATGTATTTACTGGTCACAAGCATTTGCGAACGAACAAGGTAACACTCTCTCAGTCCTGATTTTAATGACATTTTGATTGTCTCATTTCCAGGAAACTGATTTTAAAGAATGGAAGGTGGTGATTCAGGAAATAGCTAAATTTCTAAAAGCTGACACAGCTTTTTTCAATAACAGACCTTTGAGGTATAGCATTGTCTTGGACCTTCATTCAGATTGTCTCCCACATGTTGTTCAAGCCAAGAGAAAGTTAAGGTTAAGGGATGCATTGTTGTGCAGTTACCATCCTATTGAGGTAAAAACTGCCATTCTTTCTTCTAGAGCCATCAGTATCCTTTTGTGTCATGTTAACTGTGTAAATGGGTGATTAGGCTGACTCTGCATCCCTAGTTCAATGGAAGCTGATGAACTGATGATTCTATCTATCTTTTTTTTGTTACTCAGGTCAAATTCTCAGAACTGACTCTTGACACTTTCAGAATGCTACAATGTCTTGAATGGGAACCTAGTGGTTCGTTTTACCAGATAACTAGTGGAGCTCATTCAGCTGGACAGAATGGAAATCCGGGACCTAGTTGTGTAAACTATTCACAAGATATAACTGATCCTACATTGCCTCTTAACCCTCGCAAAGCCATTCTATACCGCCCAACTGTTACAAGTTTTATAGCAGTGAGTATTCACCCCTCAAAAGTCTTCCTCAAATTAGTTACAAGTTTTTAGGTAATATATGTGGATCAGTTTACTTCCACCATGATTTAATCAAGTGAGGCTACATCAGTTTGCATAAAATTTCATAATAGAATTTGTCTGTTTGAACATAAAAAGTTACATCTATGTTTAGGTTCTGGCAACAATCTGCGATGAGCTTCCTCCAGATGGGGTCCTATTAATATATCTTTCAGCTTCAGGTAGTGGCAGACTGGGAGTCCATATTGATATCTTTATAATGTTGCTCAGTATTTGACTTTGACTCTCATATTATGGTTCTTGATGATGCATCAGGATGCTGTCAAAACCCTATTCCGTCTCCATCACATAGTGGAGCTGCTTTGGGCATTTCAGAGAACATTTTCAAAGGGTTACGGTCTCACTTCAATGACTCTGAAGCTGCCTCCACATCCCCCCTTAACCCTGTATGTGATATTACAGATTCTCCTTCCGCCAAAACGGATACCTTAAGTCAACCTGTCAGTGGATTACATATTGGTTCTCGAGGTGTGATACCGTAATAAGCATTTGTTAAATGACTTTTAGTAGCAAAATTATGTCACATGTTATTTTAAAAACTCTGTACTTCATGATTCTTCCATCCTAAAATGATATTGTTTTTCTTTTATCGGTCTACACAGTTTCATTTCATTCCCTTATTTTGAGTATCAATTTGTAATTATTTTTAAATTTGGAGCCCGTTTAGTAACACCGAAATTGGCTGAATTCCTTGATATTTGTGGAATTCCGGCTAAAGCCGTTGAACTGGTTGTGCATCCGCTACAACAATAACAACATCCAAGCCTTATTCCCAAAAGATTTTGGGTGTGCATCTGCTGAATAATGAAATATTATATTTAAAATAATTTTTATTAATAAAACAAAAGAAAAACTTATACTCCGTAGAAAATAACTAAAATAGTCCTTTTAGCAAATTCAGCTAGAAAAGTAACCCTAACTTTACTTATTTTTATTATTATCAAATTTTGCGCTAGAAATCAAAAGGTATGTGTTTGTTAAAGACGTTGCTTGAATAGGCATGATAAGCTGAAAACAGAGGTTACCAAACAGGGTCTTGATTTTTGCAATTGAGTGGAACTTTTAGTATATTTTTAAATACATAAATTTTATTTTGCTAACACTAACTCAGAAATTAGTAGGGAAAAATTACCTTTGAAGTGTTTTATGCTTATCAATTTGGGATGGAAGGAGTATATTGTTAGAAATAAGGAATAAATATACCGTTGAACTAAACACAAAAGGTGTAGTGTTGGAAATATACCCTTGAATTATAAATTAGAGAACATATATACCCCTCAAATATTGGACATTAAGAGTACATATGTTCTCTAATATATAGTTTGATTTGTTCAAACTTTACCATTTTTATGTTTAATTGGTCCACAATTAATTTGAGGGGTATATTTGTACTCTGCCATAAAATTCAGGGGCACATATATTGCTTGTGTGGGATACAGAGACAATATTTTTTTTGAAGAATCTTTTTCATTCTTCTCTTTTATATCTTACACACAAATATAAGTATACTTCAATATTTGTTTGTCTATTTCTCTTATAGGTATGAATGGCATTTTCCCCTGCGACTTTCTGCCATTTACAAGAAAACCACTTTTCCTTGTCATCGATAGCGACATTAGTGGAGATTTCAAGGCAAGTCCATATATATACATACATACATATATATATATATACACACACAAACTAATCCTCCCATGCTAACCTACAAACTGTCATAAACTGTGCATCTTTACATTATTTGTATTGCATATTGAGGTTCAAAGTGTTGGATATTATATGTATTGCATATTGAAGTTCAAAGTGTTGCATATTATTTGTATTGTATATTGAAGTTTACAGTGTGCATCTTTACATTATTTGTATTGCATATTGAAGTTCAAAGTGTTGCATATTATTGAGTTTGTAGGTTATTATTTTAAGCATGGTTTGTATTTGATAATATGCAAATATGCAACACTTTGAACTTCAATATGCAATACAAATAATGTAAAGATGCACACTGTAAACTTCAATATACAATACAAATAATATGCAACACTTTAAACTTCAATATGCAATACATATAATATGCAACACTTTGAACCTCAATATGCAATACAAATAATGTAAAGATGCACAGTTTATGACAGTTTGTAGGTTAGCATGCGAAGACTAGTTTGTATGTGATCTCACCCCTATATATATCATGAATTTGCAATTAAACATATTGTCATGATGAACTATATATTGCGGATTCTTCGGTTTATCTCTCCTAATTTGGTGATGTTTCTAAATTTACTCTAGTATGGTGCGAATATTGGATAAATTAACTTGAAGCAATTTGCATTGTGTAGAGAATGTGCTAGTTTTAGTAATTTGGAATGCATTAGTAATTTGCATTGTGTAGACAGTTTGCATTATGTAGGTTTTGTATAAATAAATCTTTGTTATTTGATGTATCCTATTTACCTGGCATTTTTTTTCACGCGAGAAAAACTCCATAATTTCTTCTGGAATATTTTTGTCTTTTACTTGAGACTCTCCTGTGACTCTTCTCTTTATACATCATCTGATATGCTTTTCTCTTCATAGTATTTCCTTTTAATTCATCTGTTATTTACTCGTTATGAGCTTATAGACAATGATATTTAAAAGTATTATAACCCTAGTGACCCTGTGGTATGAATGTATGATAGGTACAGCTAAGATTCCTAAGAATCATTTTTTTTACTTCAAACGCTTTAATGCATGTCTGGCTCTGTATTTTGGAGAGGAGGGGCGAAAAGGCCTCCTACCCTATTTTGATTAAAGAAATTGGAGGGTAGGGAAGGGGAGTGTTTGAGTTGTCCCTCCTCTTCCCTTCATTTGCAATCCTTCTAATTTGGAGGGTTTTAGAGGAGACCTAAATTTCACTGTGTTCCCCTTCCCTATAACTAAACGGTCTAAACCAAATAGGGTTACACAAAAGCACTTGCTCCCCTTCCACCCTCCCTTGAAGCAAACATACCCTTATGGTCCGTTTGGAACATGAAAGGTGTCAGGGAAAGAAAACGAGAGAAATTAAGGGGAAATTTGAAAGGAATAAAAGTGGGAAACAAAAAAATAGTATAAAACTTAATAATTCAATTTGAAATATTTGTTCAATTCATTTTATCTAAACATTTATGTTAAATAAAGACTAGAAAATCTCAAATTATGTATGTTTTATAAATAAATAAAAATGATTTCCCTGTGTGTGTTTCATGGCAAAAACTTGACATACAAAACTCATTTTTCTTGATATTTTTAATTCCCTTCCCTACCATTTTCCGAGGTCGAAACGTAGTCTTGCTAGGAGTGAAACATGAGCATAGTTTTGTTGGTTCCTGCTAATCAGCTGCATAAGGAATGAAACATAAGCAGGCTTTGAGTGGATCAGAAAAAGGGGAGTCAACTGCCATACTCCTATCTCCAACTACTTCATTCCCTTTATCTGTTATGGACGCCACTCGTCAGCCAAATCAAATCTCCTTCACCATGTTTCTCACACTCCCTCTGCAAGCTTACATTCTTATGCTCGGTTTTACTGGCTCTGATGTGGAAATGGTATGAAACCAATATGCTTTCATGATCCAGAATTTGATATTTTGTTCTTTCTGATATACATGTGTATAAAACGATGAGTTGTTTCAGGATTTGTTCAATAAGGCTGAGAAATTGCTTTCGTCCTCATTGAATCAGTGGGGTCAAGCGTTGGCAGTGTCAGATAGTCTTGACCCTGTCTGGGCTCAAATTTTAAATGATCCATTTCTGAGGAGACTCCTTTTGAGGTATATTCACGTTTTTCGTGAACTGTTGTAAAGAACATATTCAAATTTAGATCCCGACTTTCCTAATATGAGTTTTCGGCCTAATTTTGCTTCGCATGAGCTACTAAAATTTGGATAAACAAAATGCATAATTCTGTAAGGAATCGAAAGGGGTCTCATGTAAAGTCCACCTTGTAAAGTGTAATACTCCATCCCATAAAACTTTGGCAACTTTCCTTCTTTACTTGTCCCAAAAAACTTTGCCATTTCTATTTAAAGTTACAAATATGTGGTTAAAGTCATTTCTCTCTTTTTTCACAAATCTCAACAACCCAATTTTTACTCTATTATTCCACGTGCAAGTCAAACTTGACCAAGTTTTATGGGACAGTGAAAAATCGGCCTTTACACCCCATGTGTTATCCCAATGCACCTGATATTTGACTTTGCATCTCTCATTGGTTCTTTCTGGTGCATGTTCAAACCTGAGTATGGAGGCGAATTTTCAAGTATTGTTTTAAGCATTAATTTTCACCCCTCCCCTGAGAGCAAGAAATGATTGTTTATTCTTGCAAATGGCAGATTTATATTCTGTCGGGCTGTGCTGGCTCTCAATGCCTCTAGTTTCAACAAGACGGAGTTTCTCCCGGTATGCATCCCTCCCCTTCCAGATAGTGTCAGCCCCACAAGCCCCACATGTCAATCAACAATTTGGCAACTGGCAGAGATATTTGCCTCAACCAACAAGTTCATCTTCTCAGAGGTCATAAAACTTCCATAGGGGTAGAACGTTGAAGTAGAAACGTTCTATTTTGCTTTTCCAGTTTACTGACTTTGCTCCCTTCTTCTCTCTTGTTATTTGAACATCTTGCATAGCCCTTGGTGGTCTCGTGTTCTCATCAAGCTTTCTCTTTTATCCAATATAGGAGTACATATTTTCTCTGTAACATTACGTGGCAAGAGGATTTTCATGATTTATGCAATAGCTGATCTATTTAACTCACTTTCCTCATTCAGTGATTATATTGGATAATTGGAATGGTCTCCTACGAGCCTATGACCCCATCCAACAGGACATACAATTTCATGATTAGTATATAGGAACAAGACAGTACTACTACATTTCAAGCTCTAATGTAACACCTAAAAGTATTACCATAGTATCCATAAGTGTTACATTTGGAAAAAATGTAACACTTTTAGCCTATTACATTTGCTTGCGTTGCATTTGACCTATTGTAACACTTTGGAGTTCCTAATGTAACACTAAATATCCACAACATAAGTGTTACATTTGAAGGGAAAAGTGTTACACTCAAATAAGATGTTACATTTGAATATAAGTGTTACTTTAATATTAAGTGTCACAATTTAAGAACACTGTTACATTATGCTAATACCGTTACATTTATGGAATTCTGTTACGTTAAATATGCACTATTACATTTATTAACCAAAAAGTGGTACACTTTATACTATGAAATTATGTGTGCGCACACATTGATTTCAAAAAGAAGAAAACATGCCACATTATATCAGAATAATACGAAGCAAAACAAATGACATATTAACCACTACTAACAAGGATTTTCATTAAATTTATTCAAAATCTAAAGTAGTCCTGTCATAATCCCGTACTAGAAAAACTAGTCTTCATTGTAATCACTATACAAGGTACAAAGGGCCTAAAGATAATGATTATGAGTGTAAGCAACTTTGCTCCCAAACATGTGCTGGCTAAGAATATTTTGAAGCCTCTAGCCACAAGTTCTTCATGCTCACTTGCTCACTGTTGTGAAAAGGCAATATATACTTCCTCATTCATTAGATTCTAAATTTTCATTATCTTGCAAATTCCAAAAAAAAGGAAAAATTGATAGTAATAATCCCAACTATTGGCGGTCCGCTCATAATAATCCCAACTATTGATTATTCCAGAATAATCCCAACTTTATGGACCTTCCGCCAATAATGGTCCCTATGAATAAATTCTTGTAGTTTTCTAAAGTGGATGAGATGAGATATAACAAGTAACCCCTATAAATAATCTCAACTTTTAATTTTTACACTTAATTTCTATTTAAAATTCACTTTTTATAGAGGTAATATCTGGTCATGGACCATTATTAGTGGATAGTCTATATAGTTGGGATTATACAAAAATAATCAATAGTTGGGATTATTTTCAGCGGAGCGGCAATAGTTAGGATTATTATTTTCAATTTTTCCAAAAAAAAAATTATTAGAATATGAAAACTTGCTATTTATACAACGATACAACACAATGGAATGACATATATTACAAGTACCAACCATTCAATAACAACATATGGGTGATCCAGGAAAAAAATAGTCAAGCACTATCTTAATTGGTTCAATATATAGTTTCTGCTGACAACAGTTAGCAACTTAGCGTCATGAATATCTCTTGAAGTAATTAAAAATTCTGGAACATTAGGTTAATCAAAGTCAGACAAACGAGTATCTTTCAAAGAAAAAAGGGATTAAGGTCTTAGCCTATTGTATGGTCTTCTACATTTTCCATAAAAGTAAAAGAAAAATGCTTGTCCAAAAGTAAGGCCACAATGAATCTGGAAGGGGAAAAAGTAAATATTTAAAAATGGTATAGTTTATAATGTTATATCATCAAAGAAAATACAAAACAAGGAAAGATTAGTCATAATACTCCACTAAGATAATGTCCAGACTTTTCTAGCCATTACAAATAATGTATTCATCTACAAAAACAAACAAACATGATTCAATAAATTAGTTTCCTTTACCAGCCAAGAATAGAATTAGTAAAACAATAGGTACTTAGTAGATTAGCATTAATAAGAGTACCTCAGTTAGCACCCATTTACTCTTGCAATTGAAATACAGAACAAGATATCTAAATGAGTACTATTTTTAGAAAAGTAGTGTAATTACTTTTGATTTGACTTTGGAAAGTATGATTAAAAATTTTAATTCCATCATTTTTTACAAGTTTGTGTATATCTACATCTCTTAGTCTTTATATAAGAGATACAAATGAAAAAAACTGAGATCAAAACGAACACAAACTAAAAACATACTAAGAATACCATTCTTATGTGTTAAGGAACTTTCATATGCATGGCACTTCCCTTGAGTTTCCCCTACAGTTCATTGAATTAAAAGAGAGCTGCAATGTATTAACATGCAAGTCGGTAAGATATCTTAAAATTATCCAACTTAAGTGTACAAAAAATGCAGCCTGAAGTATTTGTAAGAACAGGGGCAAAACGCTACCCCCGTTTCACAAAGTTAGTTTAGTACAATTACACAATATTTAAAATATTAAAATAAAAATTGAAATGGTAACATCTTTTTTTTTAATATAAATGGTAACATCTTTTAAAAATAAAAAATCTTTTGATGTTTATTTAGAAATGTGCTTTAAGAAGTCATATTTCAACACGCATTTGACGAATTGATGTGTGTTGGGATTGGATTTGTTCACTTTCCTTATCTTAAATGAGCCGCAAAGTGTCAATTACCTCAAGTCACGATTTATCGGGTTTGTGTGTTGCATTCGGTGTTTTTAGATATATATTTCATAAAAATCGAGCCCGGCACCGGCGTTGCAGAGGTTGATTTGAGAGTTAGAGACACTTTCGAGAGTGATTGTGAAGCAACAAGTGAAGAAAACATTTGTTGAAGTCAAAAGAGTCAAAGATTCAAGCATGAGAGCAATCACGAGCAAAAAGGGGTGAACGTGGCCAAAAAGTCAAGTTAGAAGGTCCGCACACTGTGCGGAGAGGCCCCGCACACCTAACGGATGAGGGAGCGCTTGAAAAAGTTTGGACACAAGGTCCGTATGCCTTGCGGCCTTTCCCGCAGACCATGCGGGGTGATCCTGGAGCAATTTTTTTTGGTACAATGCTCATTGTAATCCATGTTTTATTATCTCTTTCTTAACATTTGGGTGTAAAAGAATTTATAGTCAGAGTTCTAGTGAAATTGTGGGGTTTTGGGGTAATTAGTATACATTTTGTTCTTTCAACTAAGGGATTGATGTTTCTTCTGTTGGATGTTGGGTGTGTTTATGCATACAAATTTTAAAAAGAAAGAAAATTTTCATTTATTTTTTTAATTATTATATAGGATTAGTACTTTTATGTTTAGCAAATACGGAGTAATGTATGTTGTCAATACTCATACCATAGGAAATTAAGATAAAGTTTCATAGCAACACAAATTCTTGAGTTATTTCATGTATCATGTGTTTTTTCTGATTCGTGTATCATCTGTTTTTTCTGATCTGAGATTTGTAATCTTTGATTTTGTAGAATTATTTCGTTGAATTTTATTATGCATTCATTCTACCAATTTTTAGAAACTCAGTTTGCACTTCAACCTTCTCAGGTTTATTTGAACCCTGGTTTGGCTTATCATTCCAAACTTCTTACTATAGAATGTGACTGGTGGTCACTTGGTGCTAGTAAGTAATCATATTTTTGTAAACCATCTTTATTTTGTTCATATTTATGTAATTATTTCTTAACTTTTTATCCAATAAGAAATGTGGTGACTCGATATATGTAACCTAACTGGCAAGTTTCGCTGGATTGTTAACTGGCAATTGATGGACAGTGTACCCGGGGGGTAGCTTATCCGAGGGGTTATTGCGGGAATAACTTAGAGAGAAGTCAGAGCAAACAAGTAGGAGAGAGAGGCGATTATATTTATGAACTCGAGATGTTCTGGTCCTTTACAATGGGAAAAGGGGGCGCTATTTATAGTAGTAATAAATGTGATGAGAGTACACGTGTCAGCAATCTAACGGCCGAGGGGTCACCTCAATCGTGTGGCACTGGCATTCACATGTGCACCACATTGAATGTGGTGGGTGGATGTGACGCCGCATTAAATGCAGTGGTTGCTTGTCTCCAAAGGGAATCTTCGATGATTGAGTTGTTGGCCGAGGGCTCCCCCTTCGGCTAAGGGTTTTGTGTAGCTGGGGACGTCGTACAGCCGAAGGCTTCCCTGATGCCGAAGGCACCATGTGTGCCGAAGGCTCCTGGCAGCCGAGGGCTACCGTTTTACGCCGTTTTCTTCCAGCAGCTTAGCGCACTTGAATCTGGTTGCCCTGTGTATTTTGGAGCCTTCGACCAAGGAGGCCAAAGGCACCCCTGTGTGTTTTGTGGGCTTCTTTGAGACTTGGGCCGCTGCATTTGGGCCTTGAATGCTCCTTGGGCTCAATGGGCCTGTGTAGGAGGAGTAGGAGTCTATGGGTCGGGGGTTCCTGGGCCATATACTCCATCAGGAGCCCCCCACTCCTTTTTCCGAAAGGTACTTGAGGGAAAAGGAGTAATTGCGTTGATGCGTTGGCTCTGCCGAAGGTTTACGCTTTATCGGAGAGCTTTACTGGTATTCGCCGAGGGCCTTCCCTCAGTTCCCCACATATCGAGGGTTTTCTGAGGGAAGCATAGATGAATCGCCTGCATGTGTTGTGATGAAGGCTGCTTGTGATGAATTTCCACAAGTGACCTGTGGAAATTTTTTGATATTCCGCTTCTGCCGAAAGGTATAGCGAAGTATGTACCCGAGGGGTTCTCCTTTGATGTTTGCCCGGAGGCTGCATGCGTCACTTGTAAATTTTTGCATGTGGACATTTTGTTCTGTGTCATTCCCGAGGGGTGTACCCCAGTCCCCCACTCCTTTAGACCGAAGGCTATTCGGGCTGAAGGAGTTTTATTGTGATGTATTACCCCGAGAGGTGTTGTTGACTGGGGAGTGGCAACATTGATAAGCAGAAGGCTTATGCTGCTGCTTGCTCGAAGGCATTGTGTGACATATAGCCACTGAGGGATGGATTGGGCGATAACCGGAGGCTCTCATTTGATGTATGTTGATGAGTGGCAACATTGATAAGCCGAAGGCTTATACTGCTGCTTGCTCGAAAGCACTCGACGAAAGTTGTTCGCTGGAGGCTGGAATGGGTGATAGCCGAAAGCTATCACATGAGGTTGCTTCAATGCTCTCCAAAATATAGCCGTTGGAGAGAGCCGTTGGAGATGTGGTCCACGTGTCAGGTTCTCGTTCGCCGAAGGCGGGCGGGTGCCACCCATAGGTCGAAACCGCGGCCTGTAATGATGGGCTTTTGACCCGAGGCCCAGTTTCGAGGTTAACCGTGGTTGGGGGGGCCTATAAATACCCAAGTCCCAAGCCATTTGCTTTTGTGCGATTCTTGTGAAGCGAAGCTCTGCCCGATTGTTTTCTAGAGAGAGAAAGCCTTTATTCGATCAAACCAAGCTTTCTGAGGTCAGTTCCTCTTTTGTTCTTATTTCATTTAGTATATTTTGCTATTCCGGCCGTAGATTTAGTGTCAGAGCTTTT